AGAACAAAAAAGGGCCTTCAGTGGGGAATAAGTTTGTATCTCATTGAATAAGGTGGTAAAATAGGCACTAAATGATGGGTGGAGAAAGCGCCACTGATTCAGTAGGAGGATAGGTGGCCTGCTAGGTAATACTTCTGTCCTCTTAAGCACAGCATCTATTCATGACTACTGCCTCTTTATGTAGAAAATCTTTTTTTTTTCTTTCTATTGTTTTTTGAGTCGGAATCTCAGGCTGGTAGTCCAGGCTAGTCTTGAACTTGCTATCCTCCTGACTTAGCTTTCTATGTATTGGGATTACAAGTGTGCACCACCATGCCTGATTCGCAACAAATCTTATATAAATGCAATACCAGTCTTACATCCATATTCCTGGATTAAAGTACAGACTGGAGCCTGTATGTCTGGATCAACATCATGGCTCTACCATTAACAATTTGTACGACTGAAGGCGCCCTGCTTAATTGATTTGGACCACAGTTATTATTTTTTCATCTTTGCAATGGGTGATAACAATATTGTCTACACTGTGGTAAGGTATGAGGACTAACTATGTTAGTTCATGTAAATCTGGTGTATAAGAGTACCTGACCTCAGAGTCCTCAGTAAATGTTAGCTAATTTTATTGTTATGGTTAAGCTTTCTATCTTCATGTTTCTGCATTCCTTTTTGTCTTTGTAGAGTATTACTCATTTGGGTGTCTAATTGTATATAGTTGTAATCCTGATATGTTTACTTTTTACATTTTGTGTTTTATAACTTCTATACTAGCTGGGGAGGTGACTCAGCTGATAAAGGCACTTTCCCCTAACCCTGATGATCTGAGTTCAATCCTTGGAACCCTGAGGGCTGTTCTCTGATCTCCATACAAATGTTGTGGCATGTGTATACAATACAAACATGTAAAAAAAATTATAGTGTTTGGATAAAGACACCTTTTTATGTATGTACCGTCTTCATATGTATCATTTTAATAGCTAACCAATATCCCTCCTAGCAAAGACCAAGCCCATCTGACAGTTTTAGCAACACTTTGAATGAAAATCAATGCCATACTTTATTGATTTGCAGATGATTTTCACATGACCAGGAAGACTACCAAATAAATCGTACTCAAAAAACAATATTCAGAAAGAAAATCATCCTCTGACCTCCATATGCATGCTGTGACACACACATTCCCCCCAATAAATGTAATAAAAAGATTCATAAAGATTTCAACAGCTTGAAGTTGTAAGAGTCAATGGGTTGAATCTAACAAATGGCATATAATAGTGATCCCTGTATAGCTTTGCTTTTAAGCCAAGTGTCTAAGTGCAAGCTTAGAGAGATAGGGAAAAAGCCAAGGGGATTTGCTGTAAGCAAGCTCAAAATGATCAGCAGAGTGAGGGGAGCAGGATAGATAACTACAGTCATCCAAGGAAGCAGAAAAACAATCTACAATTAAAGGTAGGATTGTTCCAGGCCCATTTGTATTGCAAATGACTTCATTGTAGAACTGGTGAATTTGAATAGGGCCACAGGACTCCCCAATGTTTTATTTTAAAACGTCTTTAAATTTATATAGGTTGTTACCATTGGAAAGTACTGGATAAAGGCTTCGTAGGGTTCTCTTTGTATTATTTCTTAAAGTTGCCTGCCTTTGCCACCCAAGTGCGAGGATTAAAGGTGTGCAACACCACGCCTGGCGAAAGTCACAGGTAAATCTATAATTACCTTCAAATTAAAGGATGCTATTTGTTACTGGTCTTCATCCTTTCAACTTAGTTATTCAATAGGCATTTTGAACACCTTTATGTCTTAGGCCTTTCTATGCTTAAGAACAAAGCTGACTGAGATGGGAGTCTCGGTTTGGTGGGGAGACATACAGATAACTAAAATACAACTTGTCATGTGTTACAAAACATGTGCTTATAATGTCATAGGAAACAGAAGTCTACAGCTGAAAGTGGGTAAGAAAAGGTTAAGAGCAGGTAACACAGTTAAAAGCTAGAAGGCTGGGGAAGAATTTGCCAAATGGGTTAGGTGGGTGTGATGGTAATCTTGGTTGTCAACTTACATACTTGGGAAGAGAGAACCTTAACTGAAGGATTGACTCCATTAGATTAGCCCGAGGTCATGTCTCGGAGGGCCCAGCCCAGTGTGGGCAGTGCCACCACTAGACAAGTGGACCCGGGTTATACAAGAAAGATAGCTGAGCAATCCAGGGGAAGTAAGACAGTAAGTGGTATTCTTCTCTGATCTCTTCTTCAGTTCCTGCCTCCAGGTTCTTGCCTTGAGTTCCTGCCCTGACATTCACTCAGAGATGAATTACGACCTGGAAGTGTAAAATGAAATAAACTCTTCCCTTCCCAAGTTGCTATTCGTCAGAGAAGCTTATTAAAGCAACAGAAAAACAAACTAGAACAGTGGGGGCGGGCATTCTAGGCAGAGGGTGTGATGCATCATGTACAAAGGCCTTTGCTGTTGAGACGAGATACTTTCAACATATCTGAGGGGAAGAAAATGTTGACTATGAAGGAGAAGTGCAAAAGGCTGTAAAAGGCTGGTTCAAATTTCCAGTACTCTGTGTGTTACAATAAAGAGGTTGGTTTAATAGAGAAGAATCATATATACTGGCGAACACGAAGCCACGGATAGATGAGGTTGTATTGGTAGTTAGAAACTTCCAGGTGGTTCGTTGGAGATTGTTAGGAGGGGAGATAAGACTGCAGGTGGGGAGGCCAGTTATGAGGCTGTTGCTGTAGTTCTTGTGACAGACAACTTAGGCTGACCCTAAACGTGTGTGTGTGTGTGTGTGTGTGTGTGTGTGTCTGTCTGTCTGTCTGTCTGTCTGTGTAAGAACTGACAGGGATGAGTGAGCCACTGGGCATTTCAGGAAGAACAGTGTTAGGAGTCCTAGATGATTGCCAGGGTTCTGGTTGCTGTTATTTAATGAGCTGAAGAATTAAAGGAAAACTAAACTGGGGTGACAATATAGAGATATGTGACTTAGTGGTGTACATTCTGTGTTTGAGGAGACTGTGAAATAGCCAAGAATTTTCAGGAGGCATATGTAGATGAACGCCTGGACAAGCAAAGAGAGATGCAGGATCACAGATTAAGATCTTTCCACTTTTATCCTTTATCCCTCACAAGTGCTGTGGTACTGCTCCCTGATTATGTTAGTGCCTTCCTAATGGCTTCACTCCACTGCAAAGGAAGGCTAGGTCTTCCCAGTACAGAATGGAGAGCTCAAATCAACAACGCTATCATACAGTTACCAGTAAGCACAACGTGTTCCTCATTAAAAAAATGTGTATGCCAAGGCCAAAAGAGCTTTTCTGGCATTTTCAAGCACAGTAGCAATGGTGTTCCTGGAGAATCATAAGGAAAATTGTGGTATTAAGGAGGTAACAAACTTTTAAATAGATATCTAAACAAGCTTGAATTTCCATTCTGTAAAAGCTATCTATCTTTTTACAGCTCTGGCTGAGTAACGTGTATTTTAATAGGTATTATCAATACCTGAGTTGAAGTGTTTAAAAGAAAACATAAATCGGAGTCAGGCCACCATGGAGGAAACAATCAACAGACAGGGGGAAAGTGGAGGTGACATTACCGTTGCTTTGGCCCCTGTATGCAATGCTTCTTTATATCCAATACCTCAAAATATATTTTCCCATTTGACAGGTGCCCATTCTCGTGAGTTGTCCCTGCTAAGGAAATGATGGGAGCAAAATGCCAGCTGGCAACCAGGGTATTAATAATCACTACAAACTTGCAAGGGCACATTTCATAAACTTCCTTTTCAGAGTTCATACAAAAGGGGAATTGGCAAGGACCTGGTCTCCTGGAAGACACCTCACAGTCATATGTTCCATCTTGTTGACCACTTTTGCAGGAATTAATGCAGTCTCCTGGTGCTAAGCCAGTATACAATTGTTCTTCATACCGAAAATAGGTTGATATGAGTCCTGTCTCTGGAGCCATGCTGGAGAAAAAGAAGTTTCTAGTGAAGAAGCACTAGCAATGTGCTAAGTTGCTGTTCTGCACTCCAAGTTGCCTTAACAAAATAGCACTTTCTCTTGGCCAACCCAGTTTGGACCCTTTCTCTTTCACATTGGTCTGGTTTTCCGATTCAAGATTTCACTCAGAGTTTTGGGAAGAGACATGGGGTATGGTTTGGTGGCGGTGGGGAGTGCTGCAGTGGGCACAGGAGTGAGTCACCATGTTTCAAATTCAGATCACTGGAGAGCACTTGAAAGATGAGGGAGGAAGAGTGTCTGCCAATAATATGTTAAGGAACATCTCTTTCTATGTTAAAGATCCACCGTGGAAGGACTCTGAGAAGTATGCAGTAAAGACAACTTTCAAACTTTGTTCCATTGCCAAACAATTATCTCATCTCAGATTCCATTTTCATATCTATTACTGTTCTACTGGACTGTGTTTTTGTTGTGATTCATTTTAGGAAATACAATTAGAGGCAAATGATAAGGGTAGAAGAGAAAGCATAGATTTTTTTTTCTATCAGTGGAACATTTGGTCAAGTTTAAATACTAGAAAATGGGATGTGGTGGTGCACGCCTATAATCCTAGTACTTGGGAGGTGGAGACTGGAGAACCAAGAGTTCAAGGTCATCCTCAGATACACAGCAAGTTCAAGGTCAGCCTGGAATTGATGAGACCTCATCTGTAAACAATAATAACAATAACAATAACAAAACACCCTTTTGCTTCTGACTTTTTTTGTTGTTCTTGAGACAGAATGTTGTTATGTATTCTTGGTTGGCCTCAAACTTGAAATTCTCCTACCTCACTCTTCCTCTAATTCTATTTTTGTAGTATCCTGTGCTGAGAGAAATGCCTTCTTCCATCTCAAACCCTTTGGGTAGATCTGCAGTGAACTTTGGTGTGCCACAAGAGGTAGCATGAAGCTGTGTATGGAAAATAGGACAAAAAGAGGAGAAGACATAGAGAAGACAAAGACAAAAACAAGACGAGGAGTGACAGGGTCTTACGTGGAGAAAGCGTTGTTCTGTTTCTCACACCGGATCCCCTTGCAGTTGTTAGGTTCATCAATAGCTCTGGTCTCATAGTAAAAATAAAGCTGGTTCAGTCCATTGGCAAAAGCTAGCAGTACCAGGCAGTAGATAAAGAGGAATTTGAGTATATCAAGCAGCATGCGTCCCAAAGAGATCTGCAGAGGCCCTAAATGGGAATTGGCTGTGAACAAGGATATGAGACGCAAGGAACTTAAAATGTTGGATATTGCGAAGAGCGCCTCTGCGATGAGGGTTGGGTGCCACATTTCCCATTCCTCCCTTGGACGGGAACCATTATACTGGAAGAAAACAAAAACACGTACAGAAGATAAGAAATACATTGAGTATTTCTAAAACCCCCC